GAAATTTTCCCACCGGTTAATTGACGTGTGACAACACCGGTAATGCCGGTATCACCGTGAGGGGTGGGTAGTTTTCCCTCTTTTCCTCGCTTTCCTTCTGTTTTTTTTAATAGCTTGTAAAAAAGCTTGTACAATTTTACTTTCACTTTCAAATTAGCGTCTATTAGTTCGTTTGAGTTTTCCCTCTTTTCCTCACTTTACTTCGCTTTTAAATAGCTTAAAAACGCGGTGCACATTTTACTTTCACTTTTAAATTAGCATCAATTCGGCATCAATTGCTTGAATTCAATTCAAGCAACAAAATACAACGTAGAACATATAACTTTTATTAACAAAATGAATAAAACACCATGCTATATGCCTAATATAAAATAACAAATAACTTACACAAAGTTTAGGTAGCAAACTGAAGATCAGTAAACACTGTGAAACCAAATAAATAAGAAACTTACGTTAGAAGATCAGTAAACACTGCGAAACCAAATAAATAAGAAACTTACGTTATTAGCAAAAACGAATAAGAAAGCTTGGAGACACGGCATACTTGATGTAAAAAAAAACAAAACACACAGTTTAAATAAATAAAAATCAGCAAACACTGGAACCAAATAAATAAGAAATTAATGTTTAAAAAACTTCCAATATCACCTTAGATAAAAGTCAACAGGCTTTTCAAAATCCAAAATATTTTTAAAACAGGCGCTTTTGCATGTCGTTTTGAAACTCTTCTGCCATCGTCTTGTCTGTCTCACCTCACTCTTCTTGTCAGCTTCTCCTCATGCGACTGTCGGCACACTGCATTAAGCAGCCGCATTCAGTTTAATTGTATTGTCTGTTCTCTAACTGAACGAAATTATTTTTATTACTCAAAATCAAAACGAGGGTGGGGGCGGTGCCGCGGTGGCCAAGTGACATAACCGGTGTTGCGGCTTCACACCGGTAAAACAGTCAACACCGTCTATCGCAGCAACCCTAATATATATACAATATTAATAAAAAGTACACTTGTTTTCTGGATTTATGATTTAAAACAAATTTATTATCATAAACGGTGGGCAAATGAAGACACAACGCATTAGCAGTCTTTCAACATGTAATCAAATACAAATCTTTTATTTGTTGGCAAAGTGCTGCAAAACAGAGATTTACTCTTTAAATTAAAACATTGAAGAAAAATTGTGATTATTCCTTAAAAAAAAAAAGTGATGATGATTATTAGATTATTATTTATTTTAATTTAAGCGTAAAGCTCTACTTTTAATTTATTCATTCAAAATTTGCCAAACTCTGTGGTATACTGTAAATTCCATTTTTAGGATTTCTTTGTTTCTTTACGCTTTTTCCACACCACGGAATTCATAGGGCCCTAAAAACTCTAGTAACCACATAGTAACATGCCTAAAACCAATGAGAACATGTAGTTTTAGTTCATATATAGAGGCAATGGATCATGTGAAGTAATTCAGACCTCTGCAATAATGTTTCCCTTTCAGGATATGTCCAGTGTCTGCAGCAGTCCTACAGCCAGTCCCAAACCCAAGATGGTCGGACTTTCTCCAGCTCAGAAATCCAGTCTCATTACCGCCACACAGCTGCTGAAGACGCACATGCAGCGCTCAGGAACTGTGCTCACACACAAACAAGCGCAAGGTGTGTAAATGCAGAGATTGAGCCCCAGAACCCTCTACACAGCATACACACAGGACACGTTTTTGTCTGTGCTGTTATTTGTTGTGCTAAGGCTGTTTTTGCCTGGTGAGACATAAATGCACAAAATATATGACTGGCAACCAATTTTATGCATCACTGGTAACAAAACCGGTAGTAATGTGTCTCTCGTCCCTGGCTTTTAGTTCTGTTTTTGTTTTTGAATGCAAAAGTGTATCCTGTGTGTATCTGAGTCATGTTAAGCCTGAGCTGTTCTGCTGATGCCTGTGCACGTTAAATGACAAGGGCTACGCAGTTTACAGTTGAAAAGCTAACGTTAACCCTCTGGGATTTACAGTCACATCCTCCCTATATTGAGGAGAGTCTCAGATCCCATCAAGCAGTAATGTTGTGTGTGATTCCTGTCTTTTCTATCCCCTCTGCTTTCCTTCTTCACTCTCTCCATCTTTGTCTTCCGTTCGCTACAGCTCAGTTCGCTGCTTTTATGAAACATAATATGCTGGTGAGGAAAAGCATTCCTCCTGGCAGCCCTTCATGTCTCTTTGGTGAGTATCTCTCCCTCTCTTTTTCCTTCTGTCTTCCATCAGTCTGCCCCATTTGTCTGTTCTTCTTTACTAAAGGTTGTCTGTCATGGCTGTGTCACATATGTCCCTTTTACTGTTTCACCAGCTTGTGTTTGCTAAAGGGACTAACAATAGTGAATGCTTAAATGCATAATAAAAAACCCCTCTAGTCATAGTTTTTTGTTATTTTCCCTAACAGGTGCGTTGTTTGGCTTTTGACCCTTAAGCACATTTAAAGTAGGATTTGACTGATAAATCGCCTAGGCCTATATATATATATTTTTTTTTTATTTTTTTTATTGGCATCGGCCAAATTGTTTTTCTGTTAAGAGTCAGAAGTAGGATCCAGCTCCCATTCTCTGCCTTCATTAATGTCTTTGTTTAACAGATCTGTCTAATAATTGAAATCAATACACTATAATACTTTTTCATATACTGTCGCCATTCTTAAGTCTTTGAATATCTAAAAAACAATAGCAAACTTCTGCAAATCCAGCTGTTAGATCTTCTAGTGTGCATTGCAACCTGCATAAAACATATGTGTGATGGTGCATCCATACAAAGGATCCTGTGTGAATTAGATGCGGACAGGAAAGTTCAAATGTCATTAGACATGCATAAGCAAGCAACATTAAATCCTTGGTTGAAATCTATGCTGCACTTATATAGTTGCCTCTGTCATATTCACTGTGTGCTGTATGTAAAATGTCACCTGGCTAGTGCACACAGACCAAGTACATTAATGGTTATAGTCTCTATTTCCAATTTATTCATATTAATAACAACTTGTATTTTTGTGAAATAAACAATGAATAGAAGTTTTTGTATAAAGTTCAAATACTGCTAATTATTTGTAGTAATTTTAGTAAATGTATGAATTTATATGAATTTAATTGCAGAAATTATGCATGTGTAATTTATTATCTTTAAATTAAATATTGTGACATCAGCCATTGGCCAGATATCAGCATCGGCCAACAAAAAGTTCAGCTCAGTTGAGTGCTTATTTAAAGATTTACATTTATTTAAATTGCACTGTCGAAACTCAAATTTAATTCCAGTTCTATCCACTTAAACCCATAGATCTTTCACATTGTGTTCTTTAGTTCAGAAATGTGGTACAAATAACTGTGATGCACCAAAATGAAAACTCTTGACCGAAATGTAAAATGAAGACACTAGATATTAAACGAGTTTCATTTCACACAAACATTGCTATTTCTCCAAATCAGTTTTATCAGATTTTAAGTTTTTACTACATAATTTGTGTTTGTCTGCCAGAAATGCATTGGAAGGAATGCAAGGAGTGCAAGACGCTCTTCAAAAGCCATTTCTGTCAATACAACCAGCAATGACAAATACAGTATACTGTAACTGGTTCGCTTCTGCAAAAAAAAAAAAGGCCAGATAATTTTCATACTAAAATTGCAAATTTACTAAATCATATGAACTATGCAATCTTGAGTGCATTTCCTTCTTGTGCATTGGAGTTCTGAAAGCATCTTTCACACAAACCAAACACTGATGTCAAAATGACTTTGGGTCTGAATGTTTTAAAAGCATCTTAATCTGTACCCACTGACCTCTGCAGGATTTCATATGACCTGTATTGGCTCCTTCTGAACGCTCGGTGAGCTTGAGAGATTGTTGGAGACTGTTGGTGCTTAACTCTTCAGCATCATGTGTTTCAGTGCCGGTGCCCAGTGAGCAGGTGGAGGGTTTGGACCGAGACGACCTGAGGCTCCACCTCAAGAGAAGACAGACGCCCAGTCCCACTCCCACCAAAGCCTCCAAAAGAGCCAAGATCAAAGTCACCATCGTCTCCCACGGAGACGCGGTGGGAAATACGGCTGGCTCCACTTCTCAGGAAGGTAATGAAAACAAAGGCCTCATTCAGCCTACTGAGCCGCTGGTTAAACTATGTGCGGCATATTGATGCATTTGGGCGGAATGAAGATTTATGAAGTTTTCAGGCAGATTGATGACTTTGTTAATCAGATTTGTGAGTCAATTAAAGTTGGCTGTTCAGTTTAAAGGGATAGATCACCCAAAAATGTTATTGTAATAATTTACTGGAAAAAATACTATGGAAGTCAATCAGATACACACAACATGCGCTACAATTTATCTCCTTTATTAAAGAATTTCTCGCCACTGTTTACAACTTCTAGTTTTCTGTATTGATATTATGGAAACGAACAAACAAAACATAAATGAAGAAAACAATCATAAATGACAATCAAAACAACCAAAAACAGCAATATTGAGAAATGATACAATAAAAAAAAAAAAAAAAAGTTTTATTTTTTTTACTATATTTTAAAATATTTTGAAATTTCAGCATCATTACCCAAGTCTTCATTGTCACATGATCCTTCAGAAATCATAATAATATGCTGATTATAAACATTTCTGATTATTATCAATGTTGAAAACAGTTGTCTCCTTCATTTTTTGGAAGCCATGATTACATTAATTCAGGATTCTTTGAATAGAAAGTTCAAATGAACAGCATTTATTTGAAATAGAAATCTTTTGTAACATTATAAATGTCTTTACTGTTACTTTTGATCAACTTAATACATCCTTGCTAAATAAAAGTATTAATTTAAAAAGAAAAACTTACTGACCCCAAACCTTTGAATGTTAGTGTACTTGTTCAGTAAAATCACGTAATGCATAGTACAACGTAAAATTAGTGTCTTAGACTGTATCTTGCCACCTCAAGGTGTTTACATTTGTATTGGTGTTTTCTGTGCAGTGGGTTTGTCAGGAAAGCCCCTCGGACTGACAGTGGGCCAAACGGTATCAGGGGCCAAAGAGCTGTCTGAGCTTCTCAGTGCACAAAGGTACCTTTATCTTTTCACACCAGGTACATTGTACAAGAGGAAAAAAAAACTCTTAAGGCTGTTTACACCAACACAAATGTTCGGCACAAAAATGTAGTCTGATATTCAGGCAGATTTGTGTTTTTGCTGTGTTTATCAAACAACACCAAATACTACTTTTCACTCTGAACATTCATGATGGTGTGAACAGGTCTTTAATCTTGAGGTAATGACCAGTGCTGTTTGTGTTCTTATAGGGCTGCACGATAAATCGCGATTAACACTAAATCTCGCGTAAATCGACCTGTCTAGTGCGATTATGATATCGCAAAGGCTGTGATTATGTTTATATGCGCGTTTGTCCGTGAAGCACGGCTCTTTGATCAGTAGGAAGTACTGCTCCGTCTGAAATCACTTATGAGTTTGAGTTGCTTATAATGTGCATTTGAAAAAGCAAGACTCGTCAAACATCATCATTATAAATATACTTTATTATCATGAAAATACCTGAGAAGGCTTGAAGTACAGTGATGGAAAGATGCCCATAGGCATTTCCTGGAACTACGTGTGTTATGGTACTTCCTCTGCGGGGCATATTTAGAGTTTCTGCACAAGAGCGCCCTCTGGCTTTTAGATGCAGCAGCATTCAACCATACTTCACTGACAAGCTGCGCATAAAAAAACATCTCAGCCAACCGTCAAATCGTGTGCGGTTTATTTTCGATTTATCATGCAGCATATTGTGTAATGATGATCTTGCTACATCACCCAATTGTAAGATTTATATCGCTGTTTTTATTGCAACATTTGCATGAATGTCATGCCATGTTGGATCAGATAATGTACCAGCACTTGCATAACTCCATGACCCTGCATCTGCACTGTATTTTGTAAGTTTCCACTTATACATAGAACTTTTGTATAAACTTGTAGAAAATGAAAAAAAAAAATCTACAAAAGTTTTTTCGGGAACACTATTTTAAGGTGTCCTTGTTACACGTTACTTGTACTTACTATTATAATAACAATTAATTATGCATAATTACATGCAATTAACCCTAAGCCAAACCCTAATCCTAACCCTAACCTATCATATAGTAAGTACTTGTAGTTAATTAATATTACTCGATACTTAAATGTATAATTACACTGTAACAAGGACACCTTAAAATAAACAGTTTTTTCATTTTAGATAGCATCAGTGTGTGTTGATGGTGGCTTGATTCTGAGCTGGGGTCCTGTGCTCCTTTAGGTCAGGAGGTTTGGCAGACGTGTCTGGAGCTTTGGGTTCCAGTGAAGGGCCGTTTCACAGCCTGCAGGGGAGTGTGATGTCGGGTTCTTCCTCTCCTGTCCAGGCTCAGGCCCCCGCCACTGCGCAAGGTACCACCACCATTACTTCCTGCCAACAGGGTCATCTGAAAACTCTTTGTTTAAAGTAGGGGTGCTCCGATCAGGATTTCTGAGGCCGATCACAGAAAGCAGTATCTGCCGATACCGATCACCGATACCGATCTTTTTAAAGCCTTCTTTTTATCATTTATAACTATTTATAGTGATACTCCAGTCAGGATTTTTAGACATTTATTCAGGACCTGAATTTCATTTTTGAAAATGGGGGGAATTCCTCTCTTAGGTGACTCTTGTGAGAGGAGAAGCAGCTTTCACACAGGAGTCTGCTACTGATCCGTGGCTGTTTACCACAAACACAACATTTATCCATTATTTTGATTTCAAATCCAAACATTGTCACTGAAAATGCTTTTTCAGCATTGCAATTATTTTTTTACACAGTACAGTAATACAATCTTGATGATTAAACACAATAAATATAAGCAACACATTATTCAATGCTTTTTACTTTTGCCTTTACTTACAGATTTATATATTAAGTTGCTCAAGCAAGTGGCAAAACATTTAAACTACTTTTCTTACGTTATCAAACTTACCATTGACAGAAATAGACAGCTCTACTGCCTTTCCTTTTGCATTGAACTCTTTATTACAAGCAATCATGCAGTTCATAAAGAACTTTGTTTTCCTACCTCCACGAGTGCCATCTATTATTGCCTT